CTTGCGCTTGCCAGGGAAGTGCTTATTCCACTGAGCCATCTCTCCGGCCCTTTCATGGTTATTTTTAATGATGGTGAAATACACATAACATAAAATTGACCATATTAATCATTTAAAAATTATTTTAAAACCTGAATGTGTTTGCATACATATTATCTCAAAAAACCCCACTAATAATCTCATAAAAAGTCATTTTAACATGTATGATATGTTGATATACATTCATTTTGCATTACAAATACATTCTTTTTGGGAAATTGTATGTATACATTATATTTTAATTCTGTTCATTTTCCCCTACTCCTCAACTTCCCCCATCCTCATATGCTTTCCTACCTCCAAAGTCTACTTTTGGGTTTCCTATTTTCGATCTTTTTTATTTTTTTTTTCTTCAAATTATTTATCCTTGGGCTGGCAGGATAGCTCAGCGGTCTAAAGCGCCTGCTTAGGCAACTGCAGGGACTGTGGTCCAATCTTTGGCACTATGTGCCAATGCCACCCTTATCCCCAGGGCACGCTGAGCTGGCCACAAAACAAAACAACTCCCCCCGAAAAACCACACCCAACTTATTTATTCTTTAGGTTTCTCATATGATACTGTATTTAGCCATGTGATACTGTATTTGACCTTTTGTGTCTGATTTTTTTTCATTTCACATATGGTCTCAACTTTTATCCACTTTGCTAAAAATGTGTCAAATTTATCCTTTATAGCTCAACAGTTCTCCGTTGTGTCTATATGGTGTGCTTTAAGTGTATAGTTTTGTAGTCTTAAATATATTCACCTGTTTTTGTAGCCAATCTTCAGACTTTTTCGTCTTCTAAAGCTGAAACTCTTAACACATTTGCCCTAGCCCCTGTCATCTTTTTATAAAAAAAATTAATTTTATTACTACAGGTTTGTAGTTCATGCAATTTACAGTCAGCTACAACAGTATATAATTTATTGCAGGAAATTCATCATGAAATGCTTGATTTTTCATTTAAATCCTTTTCAGGTCTGCAAAGAAAGCAGAATTAGAAGAAAATCAACGGAGTTATAAACAAAAGAAAAAAAGGCGACGCATTAAGGTTCAGGAAGATTCATCCAGTGAAAACAAGGTAATAATATTGATTATGTTCTTGAATTATTGTTATAGTATATCATAATAAGTATATCGTTACCTCTATGTTCTATTCATTAAATACATACCAATGGTCTATTATCACTTATGCCTATGGAAAGATTATTTTCTTAAATATCTAAATACATGCAAGTAGTATAATACGGTGTAAATTTACTTACATTATAATGTTTATCAGATACATATAAGTATTTGCATTGTATTTTCTTTTATGTTTCCAATGCAAATTTCAAACCGTTTTAATTTATTTTGTATGGATAGGACAATGGAAAGCATGTAAGGTGTTATATTGTAGGAAAACATGAAACAGTGTATTCTCAGTAATGAGTTACATATGAATATATTTTCTTATGGGAGAAATTGCAAGATTAACCAATTTTTTAGGTGGGGGTATTTAAAGCAAATACTACTGTTAACAGGTTTGATTCTGTTAACTGTATTGTCTCTTACAGGAGGGATTCAATTTTTTAAATTAGCTTTTCACCATTTTAAGGCATATTATTTAGTGCCCTTAATTATACTTGGAACTAGAAGGTTCAGATCCACTAAATATTAACTCTCAGTTCCTTTCTGTGCTCCACCCCAGTTAACCTCTAAATACATTTTGCCTCCCTCTTTTTATATACCTCTGAAATGTAGGACCATATATTTTTAAATTTTTTTATTGATACAATGTTTGCCACATTTTCTTTTCATTCATTCGTCTGTTGATAGACACATGAGTTGTTTCACACTGGTGGCTATGTTGAATAAAGATACTCGGAACATGACTCTAGAAGTATCCCAGCTTTTCAATCCTTTTAGCATATATGGAATGATGTAAGTTACTGATCCTGTAATTCTATGTGTAAATTTTGAAGAAAGTTACAAAACTTTGTACTGTTTACCTGCAATGATTAAAATTCCATAGAGCCATTCAGAAGAAGACAAAGAAGAAGAAGAGGAGGAGGAGGAAGAAGAGGAGGAAGAGGAAGAGGAAGATGAAAATGATGATTCTAAGTCTCCTGGAAAAGGCAGAAAGAAAATTCGTAAGATTCTTAAAGATGATAAACTAAGAACAGAAACACAAAATGCTCTTAAAGAAGAAGAGGAGAGACGAAAACGAATTGCTGAGAGGGAGCGTGAGCGAGAGAAGTTGAGAGAGGTAACCAATTTATTTTTGTTTGATACATGACTTTTTTTTGTGGAACTGAGGTTTGAACTCAGACCCTTGCTCTTGCCAGGGAAGTGCTTATTCTACTGAGCCATCTCCCCGGCCCGGATATATGACTTTAATCAATATATTTAAGTATGTGAAGAATAGAATATTGTAATTGAACGCAGATTTCTAGTTAAAATTGATTTTTCATAGTGGCAGTATTTTGTGGAATATAAAAATCACTTTTAGGCTATGTTAATAATTTAGGATGTGGAAAGATTTGATATTCTTGAATGGTTGTCAAAATTATTGTGGTATACTTGGATAGAAAAATGTGCAAAATTTATTTCTTAATACATAAAAGTTTTTAGTTTTAAGTGAACTTTATATTGCATACATTTAGAAATAAAACAGATGTAATAAAACTGGGAACTTCTAGGTGTCCACTAACCCATCTTCATCCATTACTGACAGGTCAGGTCTTGTTTCCATCTATTTTACTTTTGATTACTTTAGGGCAATCCCAGAAATCATATTATTTCTGAAATTAGTGAGAATATATTGTTGAAAGATAAGAACCTCTTAATGGTTACTACAATATTATTACACTTAATATCCTCAATATAGTGTTGCTTTTTAAAATATCAAATATGTATCATATGTGCTATCTCTTATTAATTTGAACCTGTGGTTTTCATTTTTCCCCATTTTTACATTTATTTTAAGTTCATTGGCTTTTGTATTTTCTATAAACTGATAGTTACATGCAAAGACCTGATCAGATTTAAGTTTAGTTTTTGGCCAAAACGTTTACAGGGGGTAATGTATACCTCTTCCTGTCTCCAATTAAGAAGTACTTTAAATCTCTGACTTTTTTTCTCTTTAACTTTCTGTAAAGCTGTATTCCAGAGGGACCCAGTCCTTCCTGGCAGCTGCCTTTCTTATAGCAGCCAGCACATTGCTCAGCTCCTCACGCTTCTGTTGGCATGGATGTGCGTCCCCACCCTTTACTTGATGAACTCGGCGCGTTTGTCCTCGGTGACCTTGAGCAGCTCCATGGCACACCGCTCACCTCCGGGATCATATCCCGCACGAACTTTGTGTAGTTTGGTGAGGCGTCCATGATGGTGGCTGTGCCTCGGTTTACTGATATTCTTAGTCACCTTCTGACCCTTGTTGAGGCCTATGGCCATGGGATAGCGAAGGGCCATGGCTACGTTCTTCACTGGTCACTGTGGCCCTGTTTGACTTTTTTTGTGGTACTAATTTTAGTTAATATTTTTCAGCAAGTAATAGCCTTTTTTGAAAAATCTATTAAAATCCAATATTGAGTTTTTTATTTTCATCCTCAATATGCATCTGAGTTCTTGTGTTATAAGTATGATCATTGTATGTAGTATATTCTATATATTGTCTTAGTTCAAATAAAATGTAATATGTTAATATATTCTGTATATTATTTGGTTTATCGTTCATCTTTTCCAGTTTTTTGTCTTATAAAATTTAAAGCAGACTCTTTGTTAAAGTCAATTATTCCTATGAGGGTTTATTGAAAAGCTCTCCATTAAGGCAATAACTAGCTGTTCTTTTAACTATTCTTTGTTTTTTTCATGCTATTTTCTCAGCCCTCTTTTCCTAGATTAAATATTTGTACTTTTCTCTGAGTCTTTTGTTATATAGCTGTTATAAGTTTATTTTTCCAATTGTCCATCAGAATCCCAATTTAATTCCCCCCCAGAACTGGGGATTGAACTCAGGCCCTTGCGCTTGCCAGGCAAACACTTATTCTACTGAGCCATCTCCCCGACCCCCCCAATTGTCCATCAGAACCCCAAAACTTCTCAGTAAGTTCAAACACCAGGTTATTGATCATTTTTAATTTTTTTTTCCCCTCTTGGTACCTTCTATTTCCTAGTCCAGTTTGGTCTGCTTTGCCTACTTTTCTTTGTTATTCTGGGAGTTCCTTTATCAGTCTCTTGTTTTGCATCCCCGTTCCTTGGATCCTGTATTTTCCCTTGAAGATTATTTCTCGGAATTTTTAAAGAGGATTCATCATCTGGCCTTTTGATAATATTTGAAATCTGGTAGGTCTTACTGTTGCTTATTTATATAACCTTTTAGCCAGTTCTTTGTTTTCATTCCACTTTTCTATTTGTAGTAACAGAGGAATGTCCTGACTTACATCAGACCTAATGCTTGTTGAATCTCTTCTCTGTAAGCAGTTCTGTCTCAGCTTTCTCCATTCTGTTATGTCATTTGGCACTTGTCCATATAACTCGTATCTTTTAAACTTACATTAACATTTTGATTCTGCTAGTATCTTCTTTCATCTAATTTTTTACTTAGGGAATATATTTTGTTTGTTCATGTTGTTTTAGTAAAGATGTATAATAGAAGCAGAGGGTAAGGAAGGCAGGGTAAAGGAACAGAAATGATAAAGATGTGATATGTATATGTATTATTCACAATGAATATATGATAATCATGTAATCATATAAATAAGTAAATAGAAGAGAATTCAAAAGGGTAAGTTCTATAGGTAATTTTTCTAGTGATTACTTGGAGAATTTTTTTGTGATACTGAAAATGTGGATTGAAAATATAAATATATATGTAGGTGAACACACAGGATTGAAATCATAGCCTGATGCATGCTGAGCTAATTTTGAAACATGGTCTTCTTAAGTTATGCAGGGTATTTTTGAACTTACAATTCTGCTTCCTCAAGTTTGTAAGTACCTGGGGCTAGAGGTATATAAAGAGAAAAGTCCTTTCCATATTTTAATACTTACAGGTATTATAATATTAATTTTTATAATGTGAAGTGAAACCAAGTGAATCTCTTTGCCTCTT